CACACAGAAACACACACGTGAGTATACATGCAGATATATATGTGAGCATGTACACACACACGTGGGGGGTGTGTGCACACAGACACAACAGATGCATGGGTGTGCACACACATATACACATGGGTGTGCACACAGAAACATACAACACACACGGGTGTGCACACAGACTCAAGCCTAGATAGATGGGTGTGCACACAGAAACACACACGTGAGTATACATGCAGATATATATGTGAGCATGTACACACACACACGTGGGGGGGTGTGCACACAGACACAACAGACGCATGGGTGTGCACACACATACACACGTGGGGGGATGTGCACACAGACACAACAGACGCATGGGTGTGCACACACATACACACGTGGGGGGGTGTGCACACAGACACAACAGACGCATGGGTGTGCACACAGAAACATACACAGGCATGTACACAAATAGAAACAAACTCATATATATCAACATACACATGGTACACACACACGAACATGTTGGTCAAATGCTTGTGTTTGTTTTTCTCGGGCATTAGTAAACTCCCTTGGGGTTTTTTCACTTGACTTCTCTCTGCCTCTGTTCCTCCAGCTATGAATTAGGTAGTAGTTGAAAATTTAAAGCTCCAAAATATAGGAAGGCATAATTCTAATTTCAAAGCATTTAGATTTTCAAGTTGGCAAGTATCTTATTCACGGTCATCAGCCCTCTGTCAGGAATGACCATGCTCTGGCCATGGGGTCCAGATGGCTCTTCTCCGACCAAGGTGTGAGGTATGCAGGGAGCTCTGCCCTAATGATGGCTGTACCGAATATGCGCCCTCATCTCCCTGGGCTTACCAGGGAATTTCTGCAAAGACAGGGCTCACAAACAGTCATAACCTGTCTTATCCTTATTTTCGTGGGTCTCTATCATGAGATACTTTGTAATCCTTTTTAAAAATGGAGTTCCTGGCCATGACAGGCCATTATTTGTGGGACTTCCCGAAGTAGCAAGCCAACAGGGCCTTGACCTGGGACAGAGATTGCGCGTTTGTAGACTGAGAGGCTGGATTGCAGGTTTTGCCTCAGTTTCCCCATCTCACAGTGAGGATAAAAACTGTACCTGCCTCATCAGGGTGTTGAGAGGATTCACTAGTTACTGAACCTGAAGCTCTTACTACTGAGCCTGGAACATGCAACCTGCGAGGTACGTCTCCACTGTCTGTGGCTTTCTGCCCCTGGCTGCGGTTCTGGCATCACTTTGGGAAAGGGACTTTAAAAAATGCCCCGAGAGTCATCTCACTTGGTTTCATTTTATGCAGAAGTCTGAAGAACAGGGGAGAAAAGGTGAGCAGCATTCTCAGGACTCAGGTGGAAAGGGCCCATGGCCCCGAGGCCGCAGCACCCCCTTCCTGAGCCTGCAGAAGAGGCTGCCTGGAGGGGACGGAGGGGCTGCTCGCTTCCATTCCCTCGAAAGAGAAGCCCTGCTTGGGCGGGCTTACTGATTTTGGAATGGTGCCGGGTATAAGAACTCATTATTGGTGGAATCCAATTAAAACTCACTTGCTGAGCATGTCCTAAATTCTAGGAACGTGCCGGAAGGTGTGAAGTGCTGACTAGCACACTGAGACCAGTCCTTGGAGAAGCTCCCATCTGGGGAGCCCAGGTGCAGATGAGCAATGACCCTGAACGCCATAAGCATGACACGTGCTGCGTGTAGACAGTCACGGGAAGGTGCTGCTGGCGAGAGGACGAGGGCCAGACGGGTCTGTCCCCCCTCTGCAGAAGCTTTACAGACGCGAAACGCCTCTCCCCAGCAGCTGCCAATACTTAACCCTGGACAGCAATTTAGTTCAGACATAAGTGTTTAAGAAATGCTTTGGAAAATTCTAGGGCAAGTTTTCAAGAAAAGAATAAAGTGGAGGCTCAGTCTTCCTTGGACAGCTTTTGAAAAGACTTGCATCAGCCGGATCACCTGCTGAAACTCCTGTACCTGGCGTTCCTCCAGAACGGCCGGTGGGCAGCAAGGGCTGTGGCGGCTGAGCACGGGTGAAACAGCGCAGGGGAGCTGTGGGCAGCGAGCGTGTTTGGGCCTTGATGGATGCCATGGGGCACTGAGTTGTCACGTGCATCTCCAGGACAGGGCTGCAACCTTGTGATCTGAGAGGTCACAGCACTGTGAGAAGTGCTGCTGGGGATGCCCGTGACACTAAGCGGAGGCTTCAGGCAGCGGTGGCCGTGGGAGAGAAGCTGATGTGCTCATGGTGGGCTCTGGGGCTGCTGAAAACCCGAGGGGCTGCGGGTGTCAAAGAGGGTCTTTGGGTCACTTTTGCAGGAATCGGCCCTGTCCAGCACAGCCTGATGGCTCTCGGTGTGTGGAGACCAGGATGCTCCCCCACCGAAGCCTGGGGACAGCCTTTGAGCCCAGCACCCCCATGGGTGACTCAGCTGAAGGACCTGTGCCCGCGGGGTCTCGGGGACAGCTTCCTCGTTGCCTAGTGGACCGTCGCCTTTTGGGAGCTGGGCCCCATTCCAGGGACGGCCGTGTCACTTAGTGACCACCACCGGCTTTAGCACTCGTATTTTTTGCCATTGGTCTACTCTGGCATCTTTAAGAAATGTTTTTGATTTTCCTCTGATCTTTTGCAGATTTTACTTTACTTCTTGCTTTGATTCTCTGGTAGTCATTTTTATTCATTTATCCCAATTCTCCTTACTCTGAAGACTTAATATCAACCCATAAACCTGACAGGCTGCTGAATTTGAAAGACTACTCAGAAGATGGGAGAAAACGTTACCGCGAACACACTGGCCGCTCCTTTCCTCCCGCTGGGGTTTCTCTGGGTTAGGGATCCACCGTGCACTGATTTCCGATCGAAAGAATTGTCATCTTTGCCTTTGGGGAAAACAGAGGAGGGGGACGCTTTACCCATCACGAACTTACCCCAAACAAGTGCCTCGACCTCCTCAGAAACTTAAAAGGTAGTATAAAAATGGACATATCCCCCCCGCTTTTTTTAAAAGATGACTGGTAAGGGGATCTCAACCCTTGACTTGGTGTTGTCAGCACCACGCTCAGCCAGTGAGCAACCGGCCATCCCTATATGGGATCCGAACCCGGGGCCTTGGTGTTATCAGCACCGCACTCTCCCGAGTGAGCCACGGGCCAGCCCAACATATCCCTTTTTTGAGAAGTTTTCACCATGTTAAATATTTTTAACGAAGCATTTACATTCTAGCACTTGTGCAAATTACAAACAGTTCAAACGATTTCTTCTTTGCCTTGGAGTGAGCGTTAACGCCCTGCCCCACTGCGGCCCCCAAATCCTCACACGAACAAAACAACAGAAAACTCCAGTACGCTGGGATCTGGGTAGGTATAAGCTCTCCTTTCCTTTCGTTTTGTGACATGACAACGGCTGAGGGGTCTTGGGACACTGGCCCTCAGAACAGAGGGTTTCTCCTCGGGGCTACGGTTGTGTCCCCGGGGATATTTGGCCTCAGATCCTAGTCGGCTGGTGTGTGCGGTTGGGTGGGGCAGACACCAGCCTTTCACGTTGGCACGTCTGCTGGGGGACCCTGCCTGACCCGAGGCGCCGCTCCGTGAAGCTTGGGCTGAGCAGGCTCCCGGGGCTCTGAGAGCTGACTGTGCGCATCTCCTCCTGACTGGTAGCTTGAAATCAGCCCGCGTGGGAATATTTACACCAGAGACATGGGCAAATGCGACGGACCAGGCCTTTCTACTTTTCTTAGTCTGGTTCCGCAGCACACCTCTGGTGTCGTGCTCCAGGACTACCCTCTGCTGATGGTAATACCTAACCCAGGGGACCACGACTACCGAGCAGTGAGGGTACCCATGTGCCCTGCAGACCTTGAGATGGAAGGCCCGAGGACCACAGGCTGGGGGCTGGCTTCAGGCAGACCTGGTGAAAAGTGCCCTTGGCCACACTCTGCTGGGGCTGCTGATGGTGGCAGGAGAGAGCTGTGAAGCGCGAAACCCTCGGCTGTGCCCATCAGACCCTGAAATGCCTGTGAGCTCCGGGCAGCCCGGCCGAGAGGTGTTCTGGCCCTGGTCTATCGTGAGTGGCCTCTCACCTGGACAGAGTCTAGCCTTCACCATCTAGCCATGAGGAGGACCCGGGGAATTGCCCTTGTCCCCTCGCTGTGAACATGAACCTGCATCTCGATTTCAGCCCCTGAGACGGGTCAGGGATTCTGCTCAAAGGTCACCTACTCTGGAAGTCCCACTGCAGCTCCAGTGGGTCATCTCTCTGGTCTGTGGTCCCGAATCATGGACTAACCTCTGCTGTGGATGTTCCCCCAAAACTCACTGAAGCTTGATCCCCACTGTGACAGTGTTAAGAGAGTGGGAAATCTGGCTATGTATCTGAAGAGTGAGGCCTTTAAGAGGTGACTGGATCGTGGGGACCATACTGTCATGAGTGGATTGATCTGTTCGTGCAGTAATGGGTTAACGGTTTAGTGGGTTGTTGAAGGAGGGGCACTGACGGCTTTATGAGAAGAGCAGTCAGCACATGAGAGAGCTCTTGCCAGTCTCTCCATGTGACACCCTGTGTTGCCATGGGACCCTGAATAGAGCCTCCACAAAGAAGGCCCTCACCAGAAGTGCCCTCTGGACCTTGGATATCCCAGTCTCTAAAACTGTAAGAAATCAATTTCATTTACTCATAAATTACTCAGTTTCAGCTATTCTGTTAAAAGCAGCAGAAAACAGACTAATACAACCTAAGAAGGCCTTGAACACCAGCCCTACCCCTGGATTGGCCCAAATGTGTGCTGGGAGCTCAGGGGTTCAAAGAGGGAGCTGGCAGGGAGTCGGGGGCGGCCAACCTGACCAAGGTGTGGGCCAGGTGGAAACAGGGCTGTGAAAGATGTCCCCATGCTGCGGGGAGGTGGTGGAGGACCTCCTGGGGGACAGGCATTGTGCCTGGGCTGGGGACTTCCAAAGACAGAGATGGGTGCAGAGGGAGCCAGGAGTGGTCTGGCAGAAGGCGTGGCCCAGGCCCAGGGGTGGGGGCACATGCTTGCATGGGGTGCTCTGAAACCAACGTCTGCTCGAGAAGTGTGTGTTGTCCCCCTCAAAGCACAGTGCAGCCACAGGCAGGTGGAGCAGGAGGCAGGCTGGACGCCAGTGTGTGGACACAGAAACCCTGCTGATTCTGCAGGCAGCTGGGCATCAGGGACTGTTTGTGAGCAGAGGGGGGACATGGAGAGAGCTGCCCGTCAGGCCCACGGCTGAGGCTGGTTTGAAGGACAGGGTGTGAGGACAAAGCTCAGACACAGGGATAACCGGAGACACCACGACCGTGTGCACGCTGGAAGCAGCTCCCCAGCAGCAGGGTGCAGAGGGGCTGCCAGCCCCTGGGGAGCCGTGTGTGGCTGCGTGGTGAGCGGTGGGCATGAGAATGAGTACACACATGCCCCGACAGCCTGGCTGTGTGCTGGGGAGGCCACCAGCCCTCACACCCACGCCTCCAGGACAGAGCTGTTGTCCTTGTCACCAACGAGCCCTCAAGGAAGGCTAAATGATGCCCTGAGCTTTCTGTAGGAGGGACGAGAACTGTGTACCATGTTAGGAAGGTTTATAAAGAAAAGCTCTGTCCACCCCCCACCTCGCCTGCCTCTGCGTGCTGAAAGCAGCGAATTCCAGTTATCCAGGACCCTGGACCCCGAGGGCAGCTGCAGCGGCCGTGGGGCTGCTCCTCGGGAATCAGGGCACAGGATGCTGCGTCCTGCAGACTGCAGGGAAGTACGCAGAGCCCCAGCTGCCACTTTCCTTCCCTGAGCTTGCTTCCCAGGCCCGTGGGGAGAGGGCGGTAGGCGGCTCTTACCTTGACCTTTAGGGGAGTAACTGAACTTTCTCCTTAGGAGACAGGGCACTGCCATTACCTAGGAAAAAGAGAACGTCTCTGGGCATCGTACATGGTTGTGCTGTTGGAACACTGTGAGCTAGTCCTGGGCTTGTTACTGCTCTTCCAGATTCTCATCAACCAGGTCAACTGTCTTTTGTTCTCTGGCAATATCTGAACTTTTAACAGTAGAATGCACATTTTCAATAAGCTAAAATTTCACCAAATGCCTGAGATGCTCTTGCAATTACAAGAGATGCTCAGCTTTGGAGGAATGGCCAATTTGGCTGGTATGGTGGAGAGAGCACAAACGTCAGCCCCACAGATGGGGGCTCAGATCCCAGAGCCAGCCCCGAGCCACTGTGTGACGCGGACAATTCGCTTACCCTTTCTGAGCCTCGGTCTCCCCCTCTGTAAGATGGCCCTAAAGCCTTCTTTACAGGAACATTGGAAGCTCCACTGTGCCTAAGACAATTCCCAGCTGCCCATGGCTGTGGGTCCCTGCACGTCTCCCCCGCTTCTTTGTGGTAGATGACATCTCTGTGATGCGATAGGAAAGTCATTCTCTGCTTGGCCTTTTCAGGAGGTGCAGAGAGAGCCAAATGGCCTGATTCTCTTAGAGATTCTTCCCAGCTTCTGGCCCCTGGTGTTTTGCCTGGTTCATTTTGTGGGCTGCACCTGGAGGTGTCTGCAGAAGCCCTCAGGGCTGGGCTTCCTGCACTAGTCAGGACACACCAGGTCCCAGAGAAGAGCGTGGGGGCCCGTGGGCCTGGGCTGAGACCCATCTGTCACCTCTGTCTGTGCTCACCAGCACAACAGGGTTAATATCAATGCCTGCCCACGAGGCTTTGTGAGCATCAGATGGAATGCTGGATTAGACAATACTGTTCATAACTGTGGAGCTGCCCAGCACTGCTGTTATAGCAAGGAGAGGTGGCTCGATGTTTGAACAGCTCACCACGGGGATCGGGCCGCAGGCAGGCCCTAGAGAAGACACTGCTGCTCTTGGGTCCTGGGAATAGCACCCGTCATCATACTCCCAACCACTCCCTGTGACATTTTCCTGCACGCTGGCTCCTGAGAGCTTTTACTTCCAACAGCCAGCGCCTGCATGTCCTGGATGGAGGATGGTCCCCAGGCTGCTAGGGGCCACTGGGCCAGTGCAGGGAGAGGCAGAGTGTCAACCAGGGCACGTGTCAACCAGGGCACGACCCTTACCCATGACTGGCGGGCATGGAGGGTACCTCGCCCCTGAGCAGGACAACTCCAGGGCACACCCTGTGCTGTCTCCAGAGCTCCCCGAGGGACTGGGCCAGGATCAGCATGAGCAGTTTGCTTCGCCAGGTGTGAGTTCCCCTCCCGTCCCTGTCCCACTTCTCCAGTCCCCCATGGGAGTTCCTGGACTTTCCCCAACTACCACTTCTATGCATAGCCTCGTCTCGGAGCGCGCCTGCGAGGAAGTCAAGCCAGGAGGGCCGCCATGCTCTTGCTGTGGACGGTTAGCCCCGCCACTGCATGCACTCGCCTTACTTCTGGAAAAGTTGTGCCCAGCTTTTACTCTTGTCCTGCTGCTAGAGCTTGGATAAAAAAGCACTTACCTTGACCTCATCCGAAGCGTCTGCACTGGGATCCTTAGGACTCCTGCCAGGCTTCCCAACAATTCGAGGAAGAAATATCTGGAAGACCAGGAAGAAGCTTTACCTTATTACCCCTCGCTTAACCTCCAACCGCAGGGTGGAGGGCAGGGTGAGCCAGCTGGACACAGGTAGGGTTAAGAAGGTTCAGGTAGCACACCGGCCCCCAAACACACCACGCCAGGGCTCCAGGACTAGGGCTGCCGGATTGAACATGTCAGAACACAGGACACCCAGTTAACTTTGAATTCCAGATAAACAATGAATAACGCCTAAGTGTACGTGTGTCCCCCAAACTGCATGAGATATACGTATGCTAGAAAGTTCTTTGCTGCTTATCCGAAGTTCAAGTTCAAGTGGGCATCCCGCAGTTGACCTGGAGACCCTACCTGGGACACCCTTAGGAGCATTCTTCATTCTACCACATTTCCTCAGCACAAGGCTCTGTCTGAAGATTCCCGAATGGAACCAGGAGAGAAGGACGTCAGGCTCTGATCTCTATTAGGAGGGCAGGTCCCTTGACCTGTCCCTCCCCACCCATCTGTTCTAGTCACACCATCTTACAACGACGGCAATTTATGAAGCCTTCCACCTAAGGTATTGTCATTCAGGTTGCTTCTTTTGGATTTTAAACTGTGTGTGTTTCAAATTCTCAGAGCAAGGGCCAAGGGTGCCCCAGAAGGAAGGAGCTTTTTTCAGTCAGAGATGACAGCAAGGGACAAGTGAAGAAGAGTCCCCGCATGGGCACGGCTTACCAATTGGCTCTTAGGAAACCAAGACGGATGGTTCAAGAAGGGCGGTGCGTGGCCTAGGACGCTGGGGCTCAGGACCAGGGGCGGCCGCTGCTCCTGGGGAGGGCCGCGGGCACAAACCCACCCTGGGCACGGTGGTCCCTCCACTCACCGGGAGGTTCGACTTCCTCCGGGGCTTTCCTGAGGGCCTCACCGTGAGCCCTGCGGCCCTCAAAGCTGCAATCCTGGACTCGATGTCCGACACCTGAGAGAACAGCACACAGACAGACAGACAGGTGCTATTGGACATCCCACATCAGAGTCATGGAACAGAAAGAGCAGCTGCCCCCAGGTCACGCATGGAGCCAGTTCCACCCATGCTTTCCCTTACGAGTGGCATTGCAGCCACACGCGGGTCCTGGGGATCCCTCTGCGTCCGTCCTCCATGAACGTTGGGGATGGGGTGGGGTGCTCCTTGCGGGTCACCCCAGGCAGGAGGAGAGGGGCTCTGCATTTTATGGAGGCTAATCAGGAAGCCTGGCTCCCACCGGGGACTGGAGGAGGGGCAGCGATGGGGGAGCACCGCGACTCCTCCCCGAGCACTCGGCCCCACCCCTGTGGCACCGTCCTTGCCTGGCTCCCTTCCGTCCGCCTTAGGCTACTTCTTCCACAGAGAACAGAGGAAGCTTCTGCAACCAGAAACTAGGCCCCATCACCCCCCGTTCAGATCCCTCCAGAGGCTCCCCAAATCTTCCCCTGTGGCCCTTGGCACCCTCTGCCACCGCCCTCCTCTGGGACCTGCCTCCCACGTGCCCCTCCTCACTGTGCTCCAGGCTCGGGGCTCACTGCTGATCTCTGAACACGCCAAGCTTGATACCACCCCAGGGCCTTTGCACATGCTATTCTTTCCACCTGGACTTCTGTCCCCTAGATGTGCCATGTGGCTTCTTCCCGTAGCATCCCTCCCTGATCACCTAAGTATCCCCACTGCCAGCACCCCATGGAGTTGCCCTCGCTGTGGTCTTCACAGCACTTTCCATGAATGGAAATGACATTGTGTGTTTGTTTGTGGTCTATCTCCTCCACTAAGAATGTAAGCTCCATGAAGGCAGGGCCTTGCTCCAAGATGTTCGCAGCTGTGTCTTCTGTGCCCTGCACAATGCCGGCTATGTTCTGGGCATTTAGAAATTACGTGCAAAGCAAGAAGGAACAAGCGGATGAAAAGTCCTGCCTGTGAATGGCTCTGGGGGACATGCCCTTCTCTGGGGAGTGTCAGACACTCGCTGATGAGGAGAGAAGTGAGAGAAGGGGCAGTGGGTGCTGGCTGTGCCTGCAGTTGGGAGGCAGACCCTCTTTTCCCTGTAGGTCTCCACGGGGAGGATGGAGCAGTGCCCAGGCCACCTTGCCTGTCCCTGGGAGGCCCAAATGCTTTGGCCTTGTCCTGTGGCCTTTGCATGCTGTGGGCACATCCCTCCCCCAGACTCCAGCTCTGCATCTCAGGCTCCCAGGATGACCCTCAGGCCAGAGTCCAGCCTTGAGCCCCGGGTAGTTCTAAATTCTAAGCCTGCCTCTAGCCCCTCCTCATGGGACAGGGAGCAGAAGTATTCAGCACCTTCTCTCATGGCTGAAAACCCTGCCTGCCCCTCACCAAGTCACACAGGATGAAGGGCAGGATGCGGGAATGATGGGGAGGTGGGACAGGTGAAACCCACAGAACCCCCAAACTCAAGCTCTGCCTTCACAAACGCCCGGGCCGTGCAGATGGGAGGGCTCTGTGTGAGCTCTCTGCGTGACTGTTAGTGCCATCAGACCTTCTCCACCTGGCCACGGTCACTGTCTATCTCTGCAGAAGCCCGTGCTCCCTGGGCCGTGGGGGCTACCTCGCTCTCTGCCTGCTGAACTTCGGAGGCCGTCATGGCCACTCTGTCCTCCAGCTCCGACAGTTCCTCGTCGGTGGTCCTGCTGGGCTGGATGGGGACCCCAGGGCCCTGAGGGCTCTTTTCCCATCCATAGGCTTGGCCTGCAGCCGTGCACGCCTAGGAAAGAGCAGGATGGAAGCTGACGGCAGCAGGAGGGCGTGCGGGGCCTGCCCCACGGGCACCCCTCCTGCACGGCTCTTCTCTCTGAACTCCCAGAGCTGGCCAGCCAGGGCCTGGTCCCCCGTGTGGTTCACCCTCTGTGCCCCCTGCGGTTGCTGCCTACCCTGAGGAGGGCCAGTGGCTCAGTTATAAGCTGCTGGCCAGCTGGGACTGTCCCTTTCTGCCACTACCTCTGCTGGGTCCTGCCGAGACCCCTGGAGGAGACCTCACCTCTGGGGCTGCCCCAGGCAGGGACCCGCTGGAAGAGCCCCTGTCCAACTCCTCAGCCTTCCCCTCCTCTTCCTCGGACGAGGTCCTCTGGTCACTGATGTTGCTGGTCAACTCCTCCAGCTTTCTTCTCAGGGCCTCCTCTTCTACGTCGGCATCCGTGTGCACTTCAGCGACGAGACACTGACAGGCAAAAGCGAGTGGATTTGTATTCAGTGGGTCATCTGGAAACACGGTGCTCCAGGCAGGGCCCTGGGAGATCCCCCCGGCCCGAGCACGCCCTGCTCCTGCAGGAGCCATGGCCTCCACCCCTCCTGGGTGAGTGTGTCCGAAGTCCCAGACCTACAGAATCCGGCTCTGCAGCGGGGACTCCTGGGGGACGCTGATCTACACCCGTGGCGATCTAAGACCCACCTTCTTCTTTTGTTTTTGCCTCCCCTTTCCTTTAATATTTTTTTTATTGTGGTAAAATACACATAAAATTTACCATTTTAACCACTTTTAAGTATGCAGTTCAGTGACATTAACTACATTCACACCATCGTGCAATATCACCGTCGTCCGTGCACAGGACTTCTTATCCTGCAAAACTGAGACCCTGCCCCCATTAAGCACTAACTCTCTACGCCTGCTTCTCCCAGCCCCTGCCAACCACCATTCTGCTTTCTGCCTACATACATCATGTGACTGGAATCTTGTGGCTGGCTTTTCCACTTAGCCTAATGTCCTCAGGTTCGCCTGTGCGGTAGCACACCCGTGTCAGGATTTCCTTCCCTTTTACAGCTGACGGATAAGACCTACCATCTTTGGACAAGGCTTTGGGCTTTCCTGGTGGAAATTTTCACAGGAGGACAATTCTTCCCTCTGTCTCCCCATTCAGGCCCCCGAGCCCTTTCATTTGTCCCCAGCCCTGAGACTAAGGGGTTAAACCAAGGCCATGGCCCCGGGCTGTTTAGATCTCGCCAGCTGAGGCTAACAGGTGTGCGGCTGATCCAGGTCCCTGGGTTCTCTGCTCTCTCCTCCTGTGTTAGGATGGAAATACACCACGGCCGGAACTCCGGCCCAGAGGAACAGCGTATTTGTGACTTTTGGAAAACTGCCAACACAACTGGGAGAACATCTCGGTGATTCTTCTATGACATAGTAGGTAACATCCTTCACAATGTATCCCTGCGAGATTTTAGAGCCAGGAGAGTTTGTCACCCTAGGTGAGCGTGCTTCCTCATCTTAGATGAGGTTTATACCACCCAGAATGTCTATTTATTCGCCTTGGCTAGTGAGAAACTCAGAGCTAATCTGAGAGCTCTTCCTGGGCAAGTCTCTGAGTCCAGACTCTACTCCTTTGCAGCTTGGAACTGTTTTCAGTGTTGGATTTTGCAGGCATAATCTCTGTAAGTGGCATTGCAACTTCAGTGAGAGCTGGAGAATGAACAGGCTGGAAAGAAGGGAGCTCAGAGGTGTTACGCCACTAGCAGGGCTGGGGGCTACTCATCTACTCTGGCTGCTGTCTTATTTTATGGATGGGGACGGGGGGCTTGAGTCATTGATTTCTTTGCCCAGCGCCTCTTGGTGGGAAGTGGGGCAGGACTTCGATTGTGCGCCAGCCCCGGCAGCCGTGCTCTCCCTGCACTGCGGCTGAGGACTCACCGAGTGGCTCTTTACTGAACGCCTGCTCTGTGTCTCGTTGCTCCCGATCACACGAAAACAGCCGCGTGAACAGACAAGCGTGCAAGAGTCTAGTTCCGTTGGCCGCCTTTGCCTCTGGGCAGGCGGGGGGATCACGGCAGGTTGTGCCAGCCTGTGGACACCAGCCTTTTGTCAAGGGATGTATGTGTCAGCTCCCAGGAGGTGCCAGAGTTATGTGATAAAAATACAGAAACAGTAAAATTATCCCAATGACCTTTTACAGCTGAACTGACGCTCCAGGGGGACGAGACGGAAAATGCGCCCCATCTCAGCTGGGGGCAGCTCCGTCCTTTAAAGCTTGCTTAGGCCAAGAATGCTGGAGTCGTCCCAGACTCCTCTCTTTTTCTTGTCCCAAATATCCATTCCTGAGGGTGCTGCCTTCGAAAGG